GCGTAATTTTTTCGAACATACCTAAAAAGCATTAAATTAAAATTAGCAGATAAAGCATAGCAACAAAAATATGAATGCAAATAAATATGCACGACGAAATATCAATTTTGAACACTGCAAGCACTCACTGCCAAGAGTTTCACGAAAGTCATGTCCGGGATGCAACTGTCCCATTTGATTCAAACTTCGCTTCTCGTCTCTCTCCTTAGATTCTCGCATATCGTACTCGCTCATTGACGTCTTCAACTTCGGCTCTCGATTGACGCCCAATTCTAGTGACCCCGTCCGTGATCGTTGCACCTCCTCCGTATTTACATGTTTCTCGACTTCCGCAAATGAAATTTTTGGAAAAACCGACGCAATGGAGAAACTGCAGGAATGTTTGGATTAAAGAATTTTGTTTTCACTTAATATCAGATATATTCCTCTAAAAAAAATATGAATAGGAAATATCAGAAATATACGTCATTTAGCTTCAGACTTGCAATTTAATCAGTATTAACTAAAGTATTAGCATATGCAGTTGAAAGGATCTTTTCGTGGCGCTCATGTGTCAAGTAAAGATAAGTAATTAGCTGTGAACCCAGTTATCAATGATTTCTCAGAGAATACAAATTGCTTTGCTGAGAGATGTTAGGAATGTTAGGACTATTCTCATTCTCATGACATGAATTTAACTGATATGCTGATAAGAAAATCAGGAAAAGATAATTTCGAAAATTTTGCTGCTTTATACAAAAAAGAGTTTATATTATTTTTAATGAAGCAAAAGAGTTATCCATGTTATCCACATTTGAATCAGTTTTAATCACTTCCTTACTTATTCATAGACGGAAAAACTAAACTGAAAACTGAATACGGTGGATTCGAAAATCACTGGTAAACGTTCCGGAAGGGATGCACTCGGGCATTTGTGGAAATTAGAAGGAAGAAAGCTTTCTTTAACTCACTTACTGAATCGAATCACAGACATTTGTGCACTAAATCGATAACCTTTTACCTCCATAAGATTACAGCAAAATAAACAAAATGGAAAAAATATGGAGTAAAGAGTTAATGAGTAAATTGGAAAATATAAGTTTAGAAGGGAAAAGACTAGAAGTGAATATGGTATATGAATGCTTAATAAATTTCTTAATATGATCCTAGGCCCTAGGATCGTTTGCTTCTCAGTATCATTCATTCTGGGTAAGTAACATCGTTACTTCAAATAAGAAATTGAAAAGCAGTACTTAACAAGAGATCCATCTTTACAAGCTCCATCTTCCATGGCTTCGTGAAATTGGTTCTTTGATTGCATTCTTCGCAAATATTCGGCATGTCGCGCTTCATCCCCTACGATCTGATTCAGTAAACAAAGCAGATTTTCCCGACTTACCGATCCCAGCAATATCATCGATGCTAAATTCCTTTGTATTTAACACTTTTTGTTTTACATTTGACAATTTTTGCTTCAATTTTTGAGGGAAAAGTAACCAATAAGATGAAAAGTTCACATGGATCGTCGACCAATGGATACGCCATTAACTTGTGTGTAGTGGTAAGTAACTCTTGAAGTTCGTAATAAGTACTCTGTTTCGTTAAGAATTTCACGTTTTTTACCATGATTTGCTCTACTCGTATTTCATGAACCCTGTAATCATTTCCTATGCATAACTCTGTGTACCTCTTCGGTGAAGTAAATTTCTTGGAGGAGGAAAATATACCATGAGGTAGACTTTGGAATATCTGGAAAGTATGGCAAGTGTTTGATTTTGATAATACTGTCGAAGAATGAAGGCTGAAGTGATGAGCACACAATATTTGACAGCAGCACTGCTATCTAAAAAGCACAAAAAAAAAAAAAAAATTGGAGTAAATAAATTACAAATAAACGGTCGTAATATTACTTTTACAGAATAATAAGAAGGATGAAAATACCATGACAGGAAGTATGTGTAGCAGTTGACCGGTTAATTCGAAAGCGATTACGGAAACAGAAACCGTATGTGTTACCGCTCCACAAAACGATACCGCACCTGCAGAAGTTGAGGAAGTAGAACAGTATTCATTGAATTTGTGCTTGACTAGAAGAGAAAATGCAGAAGACAGACCAACAACTGAATAGATGCCGGGAAGAATTAGTAATTGCCGATCGTTACGGAAACCGTTCGGATAGCCAAGTGCCATCAGTTCCCCGATGAAACGACCGATTGCTGCGCCGATAACGAATGCTGGCATGAAGATACCTGCTGGGACTGGTAATGTGCTCGAAACGATTACCAGAAAGTACTGCAAATGTCAACTTGTAAACACAGATGACAAACGAGGGCGCAAATGGTAGCATAGAGTGGACAGAGGGAAGGCTGCTCTTATCACACGAATATCAGCTAACTTACGAAAGCAACGATAAAAACTCCGAGTTCAATGAACACTGAGTCGTGTATTTTCCAACGCATTACTAAAAATTCACTGCATGCTTCTACGTGTAATGGGTTCACGTGCCATGTGCAGTTGGCAAAAAAATCACGTAATGACCGTGCAAACACAGTCTGCAATTTAGTAAAGCAATCAGATTAGGAGCAATTATAAAATAAAATATAAATTGTTTCAGGAAAGTATAGCAGTACATGTGGTTATTTAATTGTTGGCCTAATATCAATTAGTGATAAAGTTAATGAGTTACCTGTCCAGTGAGGTATTGTCCTAAACCATGTGGATATGTTATGGTTGAATAAAGGATTGAGATCGTAAGCGGGTAAACTATCCAACTAAAATGTAAATTTCACCCAATCAGATGTGACGCAGTTTCGAATAATGTAAAATAAGCAATGAGTTATTGTTTTCCTTAAAATTCATCAGTTCCATTAACTAATTAGTATATTGGAATGATGCTTTATAATATTCTGAATCAAGAGTCAAAGGTCATAGTGAACTTACTGTCTCTGAAAGAGTCGCTTCATAAAGTTATTCCTTCGAAGGAACAACACATATCGACGGTGTATGAGAATGAACAGTGCACCAGCTAAGCCACATATACCGCTGCAGATGTTTCCATTTTATGCATACTTCATCGCTGTTAATTTCGAAAATTGAAAGAAATGATGAGAAAGACTGACTGAAATGAAATAGTTACCCGATGCATGCGAAAATGAGCAGTTCCTCGGGGTAATACGATAGATGCCTGAATTTTGTTTGGAAAAGTGCTGCCACTGTCACTAAAAATATCTTCTGTCATTTTTCAACTTTATTGAAACCATTTCAGTTTACCTTTTAAAGTCTCTTTTTGAGAAAACAAACGACAGACCTTCAAATGGATTAATCCACAATCGCAGAAGTGAAAATGTTGCTGCACCGCAGGCAGCCGCAAAGAATCCGCGCCAGTAATCGCGAACCGCGAAATATGCCGTTGTCACTTCAATTGAGAAGAGAACTCCTGAATAACGGAATCAAGTCGTCGACGGATTCTTGTAATAAAGACATTCAATCACTTTCCCTTGAGCAGTAGTAGTGTGACGCTTTATCACGAAGGGAAATAAGTGCAATTCAGTGCTCCTTTAAAGTCGAAAAGAGTTTGATAAATTGTCAATCATTCCAAACTCTTTTCCAATTCTGCTTTGCGGAATGCGGCACACATGTAAAAGACTTCCAATAGAGCTTTTTTAGAGGATTAGTATATGTCACCGGTACTAATCTTTGCTAATTTAAAAAATGTCACCGGTACTAATCTTGTTAATTTAAAATCTTTGCTAATTAAAAAAAAAAAAACTTTAAAAATAACTAATTTAAGAATGCTAATCTATTTCTCTCTAAATTTTATAAAACACTTCCAAAGGTACAGACGGATTAGTATACGTCACCGGTGCTAATCTCTGCTAATTAATTATCGATAATTGAAATCAGATGCACATGCAGCATAGCAGTTGTTTGTCTTCTGTAAATCTTACAAGCTATCTGCAAGAAACAATTAATTTTCCTTTCAAAAAAAAAAAAATGTTTTTTCTTAACATTAATAAAGGAGTTGAATTCTGTGATAATTTACTGGAAAATTCACCTCCAACAGGTGCAGAGAATGTTGCAGCAACACCTGCAGCACATCCTGCAGCAAGCAACTCGTAACTTCTGGACTCGTTCGCATAAGCAGGCTTAATACCTTCTACCAAACGTCTCATCAAATGTGCCACTATGGAACCCATATGCACAAAAGGTCCCTATAAATTGAGAACGGCCTAAAAATAATTAGACAGGTGGGTCTTCTGAAAACTGCAGGACAAGAGGTATTGCATATGATATGATATGATTAAAGAGTTGATTACAGGACCATTAGGGAGAAGTACGATGACCTCTGAACACGAACTGGAAGCTAAAATGCATTTCAGAGAAATTCGATACCTCTTTACCAATCGGAAAACCGCTTCCAATCGCAAGCATCAAACCGATTAATTTGGATATCAAAGTACGAAATGTTAAATGTTTCTCGAGATGCACACCTTGCAGTATTGTCTTCACCTCAGGTATACCGGATCCTAAATTTGCCATCTTTTGCTTATTCTTTCTTTTCATTGTGAATTCTTCTGCTGTACATCTTCTTACCGATCAAAGAAGATCTATCAAACTTTAATCTGGCTATCGAGATATTTAAGTGAAGATTCACCCATCGCATTGATGGACAGGTAATGCACGATAGTTGTGGAGAGCATTAGCAGTACCATCGTGTAAATTAACCAAGCTGCGTAAGTCATCAAAGTGTTAGTTGTCGCATATTTGGTAATGTTGAAATTTTCCATCACTGTCACATGATCTGAATTGACGGCTTACTTTCATGCATTCTGAATTACCACCACTTATCTTACTGAAATTACTACCGAAGGATGGTGCAAGACGATGAACTGCTCACTCAGACCACTCAAAAGTAGTAAGCTTATCACTCTGATAATGCCACTTTCTTCTCCTTACTAATTAAGTATTCAAGATAAATTGAGAAAGTGAACGGTTGACAATGATGCAAGTGTCAAGTGTACATGTCTGCAGCTTATCGACCCCGTAGTCCAGTATCAGCGAAAGCACAGCCATGGAGACCCCAAGACCGGCCAGGAATATCCAGTCCACCAGGAGCATCCCGACAGCACGATGCGGTTGGCCTGCAAAGGAAGAACTATGCTTGTTCCCGAAATTCCGATCAATTTTGACTACTCTCAGGCAGCAAATAGTTTTACATTTGCTCCATGCATCGAATAAGTTTACGATCACTGTGTCAAATAATTCATTTTGCGGGTAATTTTACCCAGTTACTTTGACCTGTCATTGTAATCCAAGATCTTCTCTGGTCATCATTCTCTTATCATTCATCAGTTGTGCATGTTTACATTTTTACGAGACTTTTTTTTTAACAAAATAAACAATACTTTTAAAATGCAGATTAAAAATACTTCCCAAATGACAAAAGTGCTCGATACTGGCAATAATCCCATCTACAGGTGAAAAGCTACCATTCTGTTCATGTGGACATTTTTAAAAAGTATTCGTGAAATCTCTGTGAGTCGAGTTGTCTAACTTCTTCATTAAGCTACTTGATTAATACTTTGGAACAATTTGACGATTTAGGTTTGAGGACAGAGTGGCTGAATATTTGGTCCTCTGTCATTGTTCAAAATGAAAAATAGGAATGATCATTGTACTTTCCAGACTCAGTTTTACATAATAGTGACTTTTGGACAGGATGTGAGTAGTGCTGGGTGGGAAGGCTTTAGTGATTAGATTAAGAATGAAGGAGAAAATCTGAAAACTCACAAATGTTGCAAAATAATCTCTTCCTCCTTTTGAATCTGACCTTATCCTCCACCGAATTGCAATTTTCCAATTTGACACTGCTGGAGGAGCAAAATCTACGAAATAAATGAGTAAAGTTTTGATTGGAAGTAGTCCGAATCTCGTGTCTTACATCTTTAGAAACACCGACAGTCATTCCCGGTATTTCCTGAAAAGACGCATCTTTGTTACAATTCTATCATTTATCACTGTAACAATATCGGAAGATACACAAAAAAAAAAAAGACTGCAGAGCGCAGTTTTAAAATGAAACTCAGTAAAGGTCATTTCTTGAATACATCGATGTTTTTTTTGTAATCTGTAAATAAAAAAAATTGAAATCTAAAATCAGTCGACAAATGTTCTTTTTTCTGAAGTCTTAGATACTATTCAACTCTTCGTGCTATGAATAGTCCGGAATCAGATTTTATCCGAAATTTTTTTTTTTTTTTATCAATTAAATACACTAAACATGTATCAGAATTTTTTATGATAGATTTTATAATTTCAAAAATTAGATCAGAAGGGAGATGTTTTAATGTTTTGTTTAATTAATCTTGAAATATTGAATACCATTACCAAAGGAAGCAACAGTTCGACTTAGCTGTAAGATGAGCTTTTTTTTTAAGAATTCAGAATTTTTCAGTACAGCTATCATTGATGGTGACATTTTGGACTTGGTATGAACACTAAATGTGAGGTATCCACCAGGTAAACCAGGCCAGATAGCACAAGTAAACCATTCAACCTTCCTCAGCTAGTTACACACTTCTGCTACCCAGCTTCTCAGGCTATTTTACTACAACCACGTACCCAGACGAGCGTACGTGTTAGGATGATGATATTCGAGATTGCTTAGGTAATATAAAAGTGAAAAATTCTGAAATAAAAGGATCGATCAGTGTCGGCAGCAATCATATTAAAGGGAAGAGAAGATGGAGAGTGCGGCATCGTCATTTTATCTTAAAGCAAGACAGTCTTGAAATTTACAAAAAAGTACCAAATGAAAATGAATTAACTGTGAGTGGAAAAAGTACTGATAAAAGGACAGCACTGAACAAGTTAATATTACTGCTACTGCTACTGCTGCATGCATTCTTTTAGAAATTAGAAATAAACATTATCAAAAAAAAAACTTCGCGTTTGCAATTTTTTTTTTTGTGAGACAACAAGAACTTGTTTCCATCGTTATGCAAACGCAAACGTTCATGCTTCATTGGAGATTCGAATTAAATTTGATTTAAGACTTGAAGAAAACGCAAAAAGCATTCACGCGTACCGCATCCGTCACTTAAAGATCCGTGAAGGATCAGCGTAAATACGATTACACTATATAAGTTAGATTATTGAAGTTATTCTTTCAAACAATTAAAATGCTACATACAATCTTTAATCTATCTTATATTGCAAAGATTTTATAAACATCATTTGGACTTAACTTAACTTAACTTAAGGCTTATTTGCTTCAACTGATAATTGATAAGTATATATTCAAATATATTCACAAAACGATTGAGAAGGAAGCTGATCAATTATTATTGCATTATCATTTAATAAATGCCTGATGGTTTTTCCGCCTTTATTTTCTCCTCAGTATATGCGCAAATGTGACAACACTTTTCTCTTTCCATTTTCCAAGTTTCGCTTTTTATCATAAATTATTTTTTATCATAAAATTTTTATCATAAATATAGGAGAAATGGCAGTGGTTTCTTCTGCCTCTGTTTTTTATCACCAATTTTATTATCAGTTCAAAATGTAAAGAAATAGAATAATGGCGAAATAATTTGGATACCATACTCATAGCATATAACAAAGAGTGATACTCTCGAGTTTTCTGGTAGTTTCGATTCAGGAAATGCTAGAGTCAAAGGTAGAGGATATGTCCTCGTTATGCAATAGAGTTTAACATTGTTCTGAACTGTAAACTGATGACTGATGATATTGATTACTATCAGTGCTCTGCCGATTGATAACAACTCGCTACAAACTTTTTCATTTCCATACGAACCATCGAACTGTCAAAACAACACCAAATGAAGATCCATGATGAAAACGATAAACTAGAAAAATTCTGTACTGAAAGGGACGAGCAAAGTGAGTTTGGAATGGAAAGCATTTAACAGAGATGGGTCATTGTCATGAAACTTGTCAACAGCAATGTTTATGTTTTTCTCTCTTCAACCGATTGTTTCACAGCAACAAATACAGTTCAATAAATGAATTTGCTCCATAACAGATCATCCTTTTTGGGACTTTCTCTATTAAATTTGTGAAAGTTTCTTTTTAGTGTCATTTTTGTGAACTGATGATCTACATTTTCTTGCCTCGTTTAAAGTTCAATTTGCTAAGCTTATAGCACAGAATGAATTGAATTTTGCATGAACTTATCAATAGCTAACTTAATTGATTGCTTATCAGTAACAAACGCAAAACATTCAAGGTAAAAATTTGCTCAGCAATTCTACTTGCACTAATAAAGAAATTTTGATCAGGAAGAACACAGGAAGTTCATTTGAGTCATTTCAGCAAATAAATGAATCAACAAGGTTTGTTATGGTTTTTTTTCAAAATTGTTCCTATCAAATGAATACATTACGGGTTGAACTGATAAAGTATATAAAGTAATTCTCAACAAATTCTTCTTTTCAGATAACATAAATGATTGACCTAAGTTCATAACAAATTCAACAGTATACATCAGCACAACACTTATTCAAATCAAATTTAAAATTAAGGTATAGCATCGTAGTATGTTATATAATTCACTGACTGTTTCATTTCAAATACAATTGATTTGCTCAGTTCCTTAAGAACTAATAAAGCCTAGCAGTGAACACTTCACAGTTTATCCAAAGGCCTTTTGATTAATATAGTTTGTCTAATAGATTAAATAGTAATGATAATAGTAAGATGTTTAATTGAGGTGATAATTTGAGTACCTGTAAATATGGTAAACAAAGATGAATGTAAAGTAGTAGCACTTCAAAGGTATTTCAATTTTTGGGCAGTACTTTTTTGCTATGGACTCTTGTGTCCTGCACATCATCTTCAAACTTCATACTTCTAATCTCTTAAACTGATATGAGCCATAATTTCAACCTTTTAATTTGCACAAGTAACCACCTTGTAATTATGAGTTCCATACCATTTTAAAGATTTTATATGCATTAAATAAAGAAATGTTTTCATAATGTTGCTTTTCTGTAGTTTAACCTATCTTTCCGGAAGTAGAATGTGATAAAAACAACAAAAAGCAAAATTAAAAGAACTGAAATCTGAATTTGTGAGTAAGTGTATTGTCATTATTTAGGTTTCATTATTCTTGTTTTGTTGTTGTTGTTTGGACGATCGTTTCAGTTGTTCACTTACTTATCCTTTAACCTTTTATTGTCCTTTTTAATTTACTAGTGGAAATGAGCAGATTTGAGTAATTATGAGTTATGTACTAGAGAGATGGATGAGTCTAGTTGAGAGAGGTCAGTTGAATAGAGTAAGAAGTTTCAGATTTCGATTGTTGTAAGGATTGAAATTAAATCAGTTACTCTTATAGATATTTAAAAAAACAGTTCAGGAAATGATTAAACTTTAATTGCGTGTTAGAATAGCTTAGTCCCGCTCTCGACTCTCTGATAAATTAGGAAATTTAGTGTTGATATTGAAGCTATGATCACATTCAGTTGTTAGCATTACTTCTAATTTGTCATTCTTAGCTAAATTTTTGTATTGAAAAATTTTCAAAACGTTCCGCACTGTAAATGCCATAATCTTGGCCAAATTTTTATTTAATTTCTTTAGATAATATTACTTAAACCAACCCGGGAAGAAGCCCAATCAAGGAAAAGTTCCTAATCATGCCAATTCTATTAAAATACTGAAATATTTAATTATCAGTACTAAAATATATTCACTAGGTTACTTAGTCTGAACTATTTCATATACTTTTTATGCTTTTTTTCCTCACTTATTCATAGTTTAAGTTATTCTTGCACATGCTTGATGATACTTCTGGTCGAGATGACATCTTTTCCACCGATACTAAGAATAGTTCGAGACTAAATTTTTCCAATTGGAAAAGGACAAGAAAAGAAATAATTTCAAATGATATGTTTACGAATTGCATATAAATTAGCAGTCAGATTTACTTCCGATAATTTCTCTGACTGGAAAAAAGCGCTTTATTGTTTTCTCGTCCACTAGTATTTCTTCAGATAAATGTTTCAGCAAGAAATCAAAGGTGAAACCTGACTTCGTAAGCGACAGATTGTGAGATGACATTCGATTCCAGAAGAGCCATTTCCTCAGTCACTCGTAGTGGTTCTTGGTGATTCTGGTTGCCATCGGTGGTACCCTGGTATCTGCTACTATCACTACAAAACCATTTGTTAAATTTATTTGCCGCAGTTTTCCTCAGATTCTTCACCATTCGCTGATCTTTGCCACTGATCTGCAAAATATACAAAAATATAAAAATCTATTTACTTCTAAAACATGAATTTTAAAATTTCGAGATGGAAAATAGAATGTAACTAAAAGTTTTGTATGAAACAATTGTTCGTCATTAATTTTATTTCAATTAAACTCTATTAAATGAAGCAAGAAAGAGTAATTATAAACACAAATTTGATGTGTTCCAAAAAAAATTGTGTAAGCAATTAAGATGAAATCAGAGTGATTATTTCAACCTAATCATATATCAAATAATCGATTATTTTGTATTTCTACAAAAATCAACAAAACGATCGTATAGATCAATCGTAAACAAAATTCAATCATATTTTTGCTTCCAAAACTATTAAAATTTGAGTGCAAATGACATATTTCGATGAAATGTGTTCATTTGTTAAAAAAGCCCATTCGATGTCTCATTTTTTTGCATACCTTAATAATAAATTCGTGACAACAATCTCCTACAGATTACAGTATTGATTGATTGATTGGTTGATTGGGTTATCACATTGATCTGCATTGATTGACAGATCAGCAGGACTGATTACCTTAGTCGTTATTTCTCGGGAAAATAATGGAATCGAACTGCAATGGCAGAAAGGATGTCATTTTCGATGGGTCCAATTTTAACTAAAACGAAAAGTGGAAGAAGCGAGTTTTTGAAGTTTGGACTGACTCTGTGTTGACTGCAAAACAAGAATGTGTGCTGCTGATAATGGCGCAACTGATCACTCAACTGATCACTCACTCATCACTTACTTATTTACTTCCTCTCAATCATAACAAATCATATTTGCATATTTGTATTCAATTCTTCTATCACTTTGCTGTTAATGAACTGTTTCAATTTGAAGGAACTTTTTGAAGATTTACTTTAATTAAATTTTAAGTCACAAAAATGTTTGGTCATTTCACACTATTAAAGTTTCTTGTAGAACTCAAGCGGAAAAATATTTCGGCAAATAAAAAGAAGTTAGGAACATTCAATAATTCATGTTCATTTACTTCTGGCGCAAATTAACACATGACTGTATCGATTGCTTCCAGAGTGACAACAGCAATTGACACAACAAATGATCGTATGCTAATTTCGCAGTTGTGCAGTTGAAATTTTAAACTAAATATGACATTCAATTACAAATGAATAAATTGTTGAAAGTGTAATGACCTATTGTTATTCACATTCAGTCGGTCCACTGTACGGTGGTTGGAAAGGGGGTTCACTCTTCTCTACTGATTCGAGAAAAATTGTGACAAGAATAATGAAGTCTAACTCTCATGACAAGTAATACTTTTCGAATTTATTAAAACCTCTGAACGTGCCATTTTGGTGATTGTGTGGTTCTTCTGGTTGTACTACGGGAATTTCCCCGACTGATTCATACCTTAAGAAAATTTAAAACTCTCTTTAGATCAAATAACAAGTGGATTTTACGGAGAGAGAGGATACAGAAGGGAAATTTAAAGAAGTACAGAAATGCGATCGATCAGGAGCAGTAGATTTGCTTGGGATCTGTAAAGTTATTCTCCTTTCAGATCAGTGAATACCTAAATTTTCTAATTAATTATTTCAGGTTATTCCACTTGAAAGAATACAATTGCAATAACATTAGACGGTGTCTACGTGAACTACGTGTGAAACGAGATCCAAGTACCACTGAGATGGATTCCTTAGATAGCAGCATCGGTGCTGTACACTCCAACTGCATACGTAAGGTACATCTGGGTAACGTGATATTTTAAACTTTTATCAATTACTAGGTTTTTACCTAAAAATTCTCGTTGACAATACCCACTGTTCACGTCACGTGTACCTCAGGTCTTCTACCTTACTAGCTTCCTCTATTAACTGGATGTATACCAATAAAGTAAGTTCTTTCCTTCCTCACTGATTATAAATCAATCTATTTCTCACTTACTTACTGTCAAAAGAGAAAACAACTTTGAAATTCATTCTTAGCAGATTTTTCAATATTTCTGTAATCCAAACCGAATTTTGATCATTTTGCAAATTCATTTCCAATTATAATTAATAATAATAATTTCAAGTTTAATTCTTCTACGTGAATTCAAAAATCTTACAGAAAAAAAAAAAGTAAAACATAAAAATAGAAGAAAAATGAGAAATCACTGAATCTCATTCATTTGCTATTTCAGATTCAAGTAACAGCGAAGGAATGCGGCGAACATCTGAAGGTTGCCAACATTCTTAGTGTTAACAAATTGAAACAAAATTTGAAAAGTACTTTGGAAGCGTTAACTGCACAAAATGACTGTCTCATCTGCTCTATTAATACAAATATCAATGATGCAGAATGCTTGGTTAACTTTTTCTCTTCCAAAAATATTTGCTAATTGCTTATAAGTTTCATATAAATTGCATGAAACTGTGTTTACAGAATGGTACTGATCACACTTTTTTCAAGAGAGAATTTATTCTATAAATTAAATTAAAAACTCGAAAGATTGATGATTTTTTAATCAGAATCCAGGTGAGCTCATTTCAGGTTCCTTCTATGACACAAGAAATAATCTGCAAGCAGTTCACTGCATTCATGCACATCCTCTCAAACACTAACACTCAAAAATTAACTTTAAATACTTCTTCATACATTAATTCAAAGGAAAAAATTGATACAATCAATTTCGCTATGCACTGGTTCGTTTTTTTTTTTTTTTTTTCAAATTAAATCTTCAAAGATTGCTAAGATCTTCGCTTCTTCGTTGTCACAGAGAGCAGAAATGAAATTTTAACTGAAACTACCTTTGAGTAGGTTGAAGAACTCAACAGCACATTTATTACCATTCCTGGATACCATGATAGGACCACTCTATGTCACGACACTGTCACCAAATCAACTGATAGCACTGATACGACACCTTCGACATCTCTGTCAAGAAGTTCCCTATTTAGCAGAGTGATACTTTACACGAATTGCAACACCTGTTCGATTTCAAAATTTAAGGGATTTTCAAATTGCAAATTTTTGAATAGTATCCTTTTTCAAAGAAAGCTTAGAGACAACATTTATTGTTTAAAGCATACTATTTTCAATAAACAAAATTTAAAATAATTATTTGGCAGTGTGAGTACAACGGAATCAGAGTGTAAAGATACGGAAATTAGGAGTTCCGAACTGAATGCTTTGAAGTACATTACTGAAATCAACAAATTATCAAGTCTCGAGGATCTAATTAAGGTTGAATAAATATTACTTTAGAAAAAAGCCAAGAAAGATTCAAATAAAGTGGAAAAGTTTGAATTTTCAAATTTAAAAATTCATTTATATAATTTTGCTATGCAATTTTTAGTTAAAATTTATATTGCCTTACCTAATGCGCTTTTTTTTTCTTTGGTGCCTAATCTTACCGTTTTCAAAAAGTAATTCCTTAAAATGAATTCAATGACATCTGAATTGATGTCATTCTCAATATGACATCTCTGACATCTCAATAATGACATCTCAATAAAATTAATAGAAATCATTGAAAATATCTTCTGAAGGCTGTCTTTATGACACGAGCGCAATTTGCAGATATATCAGCCCACTAATGTCCACACCCATACCTTTACGCCAGCCGATGACATCTCTGGACAACGACAAATTCATGCTTTCCCAACAAAGCACAGGTAATGAATGTTTGAAAGGTTGTATTGCTGGAACCGTTGACAATCCCTAATCTATTCTAAATTCTCGAGAATGTCTCATATTATTTCTCGCTTATTCCTTTCAGAATTTCACAAGGACAACAATTCTTCCAATATTCCGTTGACATTGGTTGGTATACTTTTAACAACTAACAAGTGTTCATAGCATAAAATTAATTACAGAAAGACTACTCAGTTATGTTTGTACTCCATTAGGCTCCCACTAATCTCTATGTTATTGTAGAAGTTGCAGTAAACTATTTAAATTTGAAATCACACAAAATCATTTAAAATTAATGCATAAATTAGAAAAATATTTTGTGTCTTTTTGTGACGGCAAAATGAGGGAATAAGCTAAATTAGTGATTTAATCGAAAATGTTTTTGAAAAGTGACGACAGCATCACTTGGTCACTTATGTCTGAAAGGGCAAAGGGCAGCTATTTTTCTTCTAGCGATTGTCCAAAGTTTTAAGTTAGTGTTCAATTTTCATTGAGATATATCCAGTTATAGTACTAAGACTTTGTGTGTTATCCGGTAAACTCAGCCTTATTACAGCCGAAGAGATGGATGGAATGACGGAGCGTTGTGTGCTTTGTCCGGAAAGTCTACTGCAAGTCGACAAATCTTCTGAGCAATTCCATGGCTTATTATTCCCGAAAAGTTTGTGTCTTTTTTGAGAATTGCACTAACATTGTGCTTCTTAGACTCTCGACGGCAACATGAAAGTGTTATTTTATAGAAGCTTCTTTAGGGACGCGATTAGCAGCTGCAGGGACATTCGACCAAAAAAGTAACCATACGATGAGGCCTCACTCAAACAACTTTCGAGACTTCAGTAGTACACGGAATCAGTGCCTTTTAAGACAGAGTGGTAATTGTTATTTACTGATTATGTAGAACTATTAACTTGCTAGTGATAAATTAAATCTTTTGAAAAAATTCAATCAGCGAATATACAGCAATCAAAAGTTCATAGATTTCTTTCTCTGCTCTACAATTTCTATAGAATTTTTGGCTAATCGATATTGCTATTCCTCATCATGACTCACTTATTGTTGATAATGCAGATACCATGACGGCAGCAAGTGCGGAAGAACGGACAGTTGGACGGAATGCCTTTAGCAGTGACAGTCTTGCTGCAATTCAGGAGACACAGAATCTATTCTCGGATAAATGTAAGCAAGCAATGTCGTCAACCAAACATTATTGCTTTCCTTTTCTAAGCTGCAAATTCATCATGTTTCATTGTTTGGAAACAAAACATCTTACAGTCACCGGGAGATCTCGGGAAATGACCCGACCATGTGCTTTTGAGCCCGGAACTACCAACAAGTTTAGTCAGACACCAACACCACTTTCAAATCATCCGAGAATTGCTGAACATTCACAAACTTCTATTGGAGCAGGTCAAATTCTAATTGATTTCACCAATTTATAATGTTTGATCGAAAGACATTGTCTAATTCAGATGACAATCATTATAACTACATAGAATTTAGTGATTATCAGGAATGTTCATGGTACATTCAGGATAGGTTTACAAAAAATACCGGAACTAAGGTATTAAATATGCGTCAGCATTATTCGTGGTTCACGTCTAAGACCGTATCAGAAGAATGCATTTCAGGAATAAATTCATTGTCACCGTCTACGGAAACTATCAATCGAAATTTGCATAGTGTGGAAAGTATTACAGACATTGCAAATATACCAAAGCAATTCTACTGCAAAAGTATTTAGAATTTAATTTAAATGTCACAGATGCGATGATTCTTAAAGAAGCACTCATCTACTAAAGAATTTCACACATTTCAGAATATTTCACACCAAATCTGAATCATTATCGGGGCGGTGGTAGAGCTATCTATAATCTAACAGAACGAATCAGACAAGCAAAGGAAAAATTTTATTGTTCAGGTTTTTACCGCCATCTTAAATTATAATTTTTCGATATCGTAGCAATCATTCACTGACTCTGTGGAATTTCATTAGCAATTAAATGTGTCTTTTTTAGCTTCCAAAACTTCGAATACGAGAAAACACGAAATTTGGATGAGTTACAAATCTTAAAAAAAAAAAAATAAAAAGAAATTCCGAGCTATCTAGCAAGATTCCGAGCTATACTTTTGCCTTCTAACCCTTTTTTAACTATTTAATTTGATTTGTTACCTGAAATTTATTTCCATATAGGCATTTTTCAGGTGGTTTGCAAACCATGAACCATTATGCATCTCAAAAACAAAACTTTACTGATATTGGTGACATAACAAATCCATTTTCTATGAACTATTACGGTACGTCGCATAATTTACTCTTCGAGAGAGAATATTTTTGCTTTAAGGAAGGAACTGGTTGGGTAATTTTAAGTTATTGAAAGGGAAAATTATCTTCTGCAACACATTTTACTGCTGGAACTAAGTGAATTAGTTCTATTAGATTTTTTTTTTGAATTGAATTAGTGCTGGAAGAGACTAATCTCAGAATAAATTGTTCATGAAGTGAGTAGTTTCAGAAAAAAACCCAAGTGGAGCTTCCAGAAGTGGTCCATACAGAACGGAAAGTTTGGCAGATATGAAAGCTATACCGGATCCATTTTCTCCGAAAGGTCTTTCATACCTGCAGAAATCTCACTTTCGACTTTTGTTTACTCTTCGAGAGAGAATATCTTTGCTTTACATTCATTTGATAAGAAGCAGAAAGGCTTCTAAATTTAATCAAATTTCATGTTTACTTTTATATTTGTTCTGGCTTTGATATAATTCTTGAAATTGATGTATTCTATTAAAAAAAGGTAGCTCTTTTGTGACATTTGCATTCTCAAATTAATGTTCATATGATGTAATGCTGAAACTTTCTGATTTTTAATTATACTGAAGAAAATTTATTTCGCTTTTAAAATAACTTTTTATGGAAGGCAACCACGAAGGTAATAAATGTGATGGCTACTTTGGTGCTTAGGTATGATCGTTTCAGGATTGTCAACTGGACAACAGTATTTCGGAAATGTTGATATCACTAAAAGTATGTCACGTATTCTTTAGTTATTTCCTGAATAACGTTTTATCCAGAATCCTTCTCATCAACTCTCTTTTTTCGAGGACTTTTATTAGTTTAGATATCAGTCTACTTGGCTGCTTAAAATGACTCGTTCATTCAATTAATCCACCATTTCTAGAAACGGCCAACACTCAAGAATACATAACACAACCTTACGCTCGCTACACTCCTTCCGAAATTGAGGTTTGTGAAATCCCTACTTTCCGAGGAATTTTTAGCAGTGACCCAGAATTGAAGACACCAGCAACTGGTAACATAAATATTCAATTTTAAACGATTTTACCAGTTTGAACACCAGTTTGTCTGCCTGCTGAAGATGACGTCACTTCCGTGCTTACCTGAAAATTTCCGGTCTACTTCAGGACATCAATGCGTATCCTGAGTTTGTACGTGAAGATCAAGCGATTGGTAAGAAGGCGCTTACTCGTGAGGAATGCGAAGAATTACGTGGAATTTCACCGATCACTGATAAGGAACAGAGAAAATCGCCCATTATTAATCGATACGAGCTGTCGGATGATGAAGTAAGGATTTAATATCTAACTGATCAATATTCAATATTCGACTGATTGATTGATAGTGACAAAAAGTTTATCATTCCAAAAAAGCACTGTTATATTTTTCAGCTAAATGACCTTAAAAATTTGCCGGATATTGTTGATTCGCAATACGCAATCGGACGTGGCATACGTTCCGAAGAGGAAATTCAAGAAATTCAGGCACTGCCGGACATGTATTTTTTTTTAATGCATTTTTCATTTTCTGCGATATGTGGAAGGAATGATTGATCTATTAGTTATTTGCAGTCTCTGAATGTATTAAATTTGCAAGAATTCCTAGTATAACAATTCCTTCCAGTCACTCATATTCTCCTGTATCGGATTGGAAACTGCTCACAAAAAGCAACCGTTCTACTAGCGGTCTGGCAAATTCCGGTTTACAATCTGCATACGTCGCACCTGACATGCGCTGTACGATTTTCTCATTATTCCATTTCGTTCGTCGTAAATTTCTTATTTTCTGTAGTTATCAAATATCGTTCGTCTGTTATACAGCACTATCAAACATACCGTAACAAGACTACGGAACTGTTCTCAGTATAGAATCAGGGTGTAAATGTATGAGCAGAATGACACTTGTTAATTACCTGATTCTCCTTTCCGAAGATATGTCATATAGCAGTTTCGGAAGTTCACATGAGTTATATATATGACAGTAATAAATTCTCCTGTCACTTTTACTCAGCTGATTATAGCTCACCACTTCGACTCACCTGTTTCATCGGAATATATTATGCATCGACAATAAAATATTCGGAAAACATATGGAGATGATTTTGATCTTGATTCCATCAAATTTTAGAAAATGACCCGTTTTTAAATCACTTAAATAAACCTCGCTTCTAACTGAATAAATAAGGTCACGATTTTCATTTCGTAAACTGCATCCTTTAATATAATATTGGTTCCACAAATCTTTCTTAACCATGTTACCTATTTTCCGATGAAAGTTGCTTGATGAAGAAAGGGTGACCTTTCACATCTTCCTTATTAACGTGTTTTAAGAGAAAAAACACAAGGAAAAACATGAAAGATTATTTTTATGAGATTCATAATGATAATTAATTGGAAAGGTAAAGCATCGCTAACATACAATCGACAAAAGCGTACATATATAGTCTAATGCAAACAAATAAATAACAAAGCGCATATAATAGACAAAACATAAAGTGATAACTTAACACATAAACCATTATGGCAAACTCCAAATTATAAACGTAAACATTCAAACTTTGCATGAAACTGATTATTGGCAAATGTTTAAAATTTGCCCATTCATCCTCTAATCAAATGTTTACTACAATAATTTCTCATAAATAGCACCTAATAAAGTGTCTTCAACATGATATTTGTCCCTATCCTTTCTCAATTGCTTGTATATTTTTGGTAGTTATAACATAATAGTCTTTGAGACATGTGGTTTTTTTCCCTTCCTGACTCAAGATCAATAGATATTCTCCTAGATATTCTTTTCTTCTTCATTCATTTCACAACAAAATATTTCCTAGCATATTACTTTATCATAAAGATATTATAATAGTGTGGTATAGACTGAGCGTAAGCGGATTATCCTTCGGACATTAAGTGACATTGTTTACTGTGTCTAAAGCTAACAGTAATACTTCCTGCATAGCTTTCTTTTTGCAATAATCACAAGGTAAATCTTTTGCCAGTTGCTGTTTGTACCTAATTCAAATTCAACCAACCTTTTCGCGATAACCACATGAATTTCAGAGAAATACCTAATAAGATTTGACACCATAGATAAAAGCTATACTATTATGAAGAAATCTTCAGACTGTCAAATTTCAAAGTATATGACACAAAATCCGAAGGAACTTAGTTGGCAGCAACTTGAAAACAACCTATAATGACCTATGAATCCCATCTCAATCCATTGTCTCCGCAGTACGGAAATGTGTATAAATATGAAGTGAAACAAAATGCCGGAAAAGAAGTGGTAAAATAATTCATAGACAATTATACAACAAGTATAATAAGCATTATAGGTCAAGCAAGGAATTTTTGTAAGATAAAAGTGATTCAAGCTAGTTTCATACTTTAAATAATGGCATGAACCATAAATGAGTAATAACCCTCTCTCCCTCCCCCCCCCCCCCAAAAAAAAAAAAAAAAAAAAAAAAAAAGTTTTGGTTGAAAGAAACAACCAAGAATATAAGTAATCATCCGTCAAGGAACTAAAAATTTACAGTGTTAAGCACCAAGAAAAGGTTTACAAAATTGATGTGATTAAATCGATTTATAATTGTATTGTATTAGCATTAAAAGTCACACTACATAGCTACTGTTTTCAATTTGAAGATCCCTTCTAATACAAAATTTTTTTTTATTTAATATAATAGATATTGAAGAAGAAATCTCCACGTTCCTAGTTTATGGAAGAAATCTCAAAGTTCCCAGTTTATGGAAGAAATCAGAAATCACCGAATCAGAAACCTGAGATGGGTCCTTTGTTGATGGCATTTAACAGCGAACTGCCATATTTACTCATAAACATAATCGCCTTTAGTTCATTCACTACTCGATCTACTTCATCAGATGTTGAATCTCTACCGAAACTAAACCGTACCGTTCGACGTGCTAACTCATCACGAATACCACATGCCGTCAGTACTCCGGAACACCTGCAACAGAAATGAACGGACTGTTGAATATGAAACGAATATTTCTTACTGTCATTCTGAAACATGGTAGATGATTTACTCTGCAATTTTAGACTTAATGCAAAGTGCTAGTGATTCTCCTGCGAAAAACACGAATACCAGGTACATATGCTAGTTAACATGAAACGATCCAGACTATAAGACATAAGAAGTGGTATATGTTGGGCATACTATGAATCTCTGATACGGACATATGTTATTCGTTCGTAATGAAGTGTTAATGACTATTTGATCTTTCCCAACAAATGTCACACTTAAAAAAAAAAAAAAAGGAGTAAATAAGAAGTGAACTAACTGTTCAGTAGCTGCATGACACGCGGCTCCAGTGCTAGCAATAAATGATTTACATTTAGAGAGTAGTTCGGAAGCATTTCCTCCGTATTTCACAAATATTACACTGCTAGTATTGGGCAAACGTTCCGATGCTTCGAAATTGATCATAATCTCATCATTGAGTTTTTCCTAAAGATCGTAGAATGGAGAATAATGTCGACCACAAAAGAAATTCTTGTTGTTTAGTCATAGCAAATGTGCTAAACTACCTACTTTGAGCTGTTTTTCGAAATAGTCTCTTATTTTTTGCATATGCTTTGAATAGCTTTGAAGACCACTTAGTGCCACTTGTGCTGCTTTCCCCAAACCGACGATCAGTGGAGTATTTTCTGTGCTGCAAAAGAAAAAATAAAACGATAGATGCTTTTGATCATTATTCTGTCTAATGATATTCTATCATTTCGGTATTTTCCAGTAAAATTTTCATAAACAATAAATTAAAAAAGTGAAAAATTAAATGAATTAAATGAAAAACTACCAAATTTTGAGTTAAAAATTGAGATAGCGTACCCCGCCCGCTTGCTTCGTTCTTGATTACCGCCAAGAAACAACGCCCTTAGAGGCACTTTGCTTTCATCTCTTAATACAAGCGCTCCAATTCGTGGACCATAAAATTTATGTCCCGTAACGGTCACAAAATCAACATTCAAAGCATTTACATTAACATCAATTTTACCGATAGCCTGGGAAACATCACTGTGCACAAATATCCGACTTTCAAATTTGTTCTCACATTTTCTGAAAGCATTCGCAAAATTATCATATAATTTATACACTGAATTTATACACTATACACTGAGCTGCGTGCTGGGTATTATGTACCAGTGAAAAATCTATTTTTATTATAAGGCTCGGCAAAGTTCACGACTTTTTCTCAAATGAATTTGGGATTTTCCACTGATTTGTTGTTATTGGGATTATATATTAAGAGATTTAAACACAACCTAGCAATTTCAGCAACTTCAGCAACAGGTTGTATAACGCCCGTTTCATTGTTTGCCGTCATCACCGACACTAAGCAAGTTCGCTCGCAGAATGCTTCTTCAAGATCATTTAATTTTACTCGACCGGTTTCCAAGTCAATGCTGATTTCAGTCAGATCTGATGAGCAAATGTCATTAGGAAATTATATCGGCAACTGAATTCGTTCATTTCGAAGATGGACAGAAATATTTCATGAAGGTTATAAGTTATGAAAACTTGTATATTCATTTAGGGTAAAATAAAGAAAGGAAGTACTGTAGTAAATTAACACCAATTAATTTCTTAAAACTAAAGCAAATTTTATCATCAAAATACAAGCTTGCCGATTTCTTGTTTCTTTTTCAAATCACGCAACGGTTCTAGAATCGATGGATGCTCAATGGCAGAGGCAATAATATGTGGTTTATAATCCCGTCCCCAGACTGCTTTCCGATGTTCGATGCAATTGTATATCACCCAATTATTGGTCTAAACAAATGATACGTTAGAGAAATACAGCATTCGCCATTAATTTGATATCATTTTAAAGGAGAAATACGAAAATCTGACCTCGGTTCCACCTGATGTAAAAAATATTTCTTTGGCAGAAACATGTAACAGTCTGGCTACATTTTCGCGTGCCTCCTCAATCCCATCCTTCGCTTTTTTCCCTTTATAAATTTTCAAAGATCAAAAAATAGTTCAAATAGGTAGATAAGAAACAAAAAGAAGAAAAAAAAAAAAGAATTAAAAGATGGAGAATTCTTCCTTCGCCGCTAATACAGCACTCTTGAATTAGCAGCCAAAGACTTACCGAGCTCATTATTGCTACTTGGATTACCCCAAATATTGAATGCATCCACTATAGACTGCTTAACATCTTTGTCAATCGGTGTAGTTGCATTATAATCCAAGTAGACTTTTTCTTGTTCTTCGATATACCAAGTCATTCGAACCAGCAATTGAGTGAGTAAAGACTCTGAATAGGACTTGAACTTAGCCAAAAGTAAGTGAAATACAGTCACGAAAGAAAGGAAAGACAACACGTGAACAGCATTCAAACGTTAACAAACTTCAATAACGATCTTGCAATTCGAAGTGAATCATTATGGGAGACAAGGATTTGTCGCAGGCTTTTAAGTCACAAAGAAAGCCGAAATAATTACCATGCGAGAACAGAAGAAGATGAGACATGAGGCATTTCAGATTCAGGTGTAAGTTTCAAGTGTGTCACTGTAGAATATCGAATTCTTACCAGATACTTATCCCCGATGATTAAGAAACTTCTCGCATCGGAAGAGAAACGTTCACTTCGGTCTGTCATAAGAGACTAAGACATGAACTGATGCATGGGCGCTCTAATAACACAGCTCCTGTCTCGTTCCTAAGTTAAGCTAAGATGGACAGATGCGCTCTCTTGTTGACTGGGTGTTACCAAACTATTCGCAGTTATCAACGAACTGTTATTGTCAACAATGATCAATTTGTGAAATATGAGGGTGGAATGAATGACAACACCGTACAGTTATACATTAGCCACTCATCCGATTGTTTTCCATCTTCTCATATTGGAAGAAACTGTAAAGAAAGTATTGCAGAAGACAAAGAATGGAAAGGGTAAATTTGAAAGGAACTTTGGATTAGTTTGAAATACTGCTAAAGGACAGAAATGTCTAAGGGATTCAGTTCACACTACCAACTTTGCTAAGAAAGGCTGTCACCAAACGGATGACAAAGGAGACGTAATGACCGTTATGCTGGCATTGAGACATTGCTGTTTCATTGAGACTGAGCAGAGTTTCACAGCTTAAGCTGCATCCGCTATTCCCCGGTAGTTCGGGGTGTGTGGGTCGTTGTCTTGGGGGTTTGGGGACGATGTGTTGTCCTTTCGTTTGGGGCGTTGGCTTTCCAATGAATTAAGTAAACAATATAGTTGTTTTTATGAGTATACTGAAAATCATGGGTGAAAGTCATTTGATTCAAATAACACCAACATCCTCGGAGAGAAGCGAGAAATTGCGGAATGTTTTCTGCTTGTGTTTGATTATGGAATCATTGAACTCTTCCACTTCATGGATACTGGATAGGACAATCTCTGGCAATTGGGGTATGACCGGGCGCATTTTGTCAAAATGCCTGTGTGATGGCAGGTGGAAAGAGAAACTATATATTTCAGCTGGAAATGGCTGGTAAATTACCAAAAATCGCTCCAAAAACGGTGACTAATCGCACACAAACGCCAATAATGGTATGGTTACGTGATAAGCTAAATGCAATATATCGAGATAGAACCACACCACCGCCCGGCTTACCGACAGCTGATGGTGAGGTCGGTTTAATTCTTATTTATCTCGGTGATTCGTAACTGTCCAACAGCCATCTTTTTTTGTCATTGTGAAGAAGGAAGTTATATATATATATATATATATATATATAGTTCACATATGCAAAATTTCTTCAGTTCACAGAAATTATATCATATCTGTGCGTTCGGTTTGGAATAGACTAATTTTCTTTTTATTGTAGAGCAAGTTTTATGAAATGAATCGTTTTCCGAACACACAAACAGCGAGAAGCCGTCCTTCTGTATCATTACCTGGTGGCGTACATCACAAATCATCCGACAATTATTATTTGGACAGAGATACTCGTCGCAGTATCCAACCCCCGAAATGCATTTATTCCGCAGATTCGCATGACCAAGTTTCCAAAAGCCTCGACGGTGAAACAATATGGTAACTCGCTTAATTCAAATGGCTCTGTGTATGAAATAGTTCTTCATAGATTGCTAATTTTGAAGAACCTTTTTTTTCATGTCCACCTGTTAATACTACTGTAGTTTATAATCTTTTTTATATACATAGAGTCATAAATCGTTTATTATATTATTCTAATAAAGCACAACTTCAGGATGATTGCGTTCTTCTATAGATTCCTCTAGATCGCAGGGCAGATTTCCTAGTTGAGTTTAAGTCAAATGTAGTTTTCATTAAACCACTTTTTTCATATTTTAGTACTGAAACAACAATGAAAGTAGAGACAAGTTTGCGAAAAAATTTTGGGCTGGAGTTGCCAACTCCAGGTTTCGGATATGCATGGCATCGGAATAAAGACGAAGAACTGCATACGCCAAGGTATTCGAAAGATCTAGCAGCACTGGAAAAATACGACAAATTCACATATAGTGATTGATTAAAGTATACTAGTTCGTAATATATTTAGGAATGCCCATTTTTACGCTTGATTTTTCTAAAGAATAAAAACTTTTCCCTGGACATGAATCTGGTGTTTTGAAATTATTAATCAAATATCAGTCTGGTGAAAAGAAGAATGAAAAACGAAGTATCATTTAATTCAACTTTGGAGTTTGGAAACACACATTGAGCTTTCAAATCTTAATTAGTGAATTTATAAGGCAAGCTAAAAAAGCGTCGGGAAATAGTATTTATTTATGCATGCATGTTGTCGGATTCGTAGAGTTGTATTTACGGTTTTTGTGTGTATTTATTGTCTTGTATAAAACTTGAACAATGTATAAAATTTGAGCAGTGAACTTTTTGGCAAATTTTAAATTTTGTAATGGATTATGAGGGAACTAATAAAACTTTCACTGACGCTTCCTTGCCCTTACTCCTTCTATTGGGAGAGAGAAGCATCAACCGCAATATACAGCAAAGTCGCGAAGATGAATGGTGTTAAAAGATGGTTGAGATTTTTTTTTCCATTTTAAAGGGAACGGGAAGGGGAGGACTGTTCCAGAAATACCCGCGGGCATGTTCCATGATATGCCATCAGGGCGGACATGAGGTTATAACAGGTTGTGGTTTGCATGTGCTTCCTTTCCGGGAAGGTTATCTGTTGCTTCGGGAGATTGTGGAGAGAATGAGCAAAGGGACAAATTATTCTTTTGAAGCAAGGTGGTTTTCCGTTAGTGGTGACATCAATGATGACGAGAGTGTCAGTTGTCGACATCATCCGACAATCTCCTTGCATTAACTTTCACCACAACTGATTTTTGCATCTTTGTCACACTTGCGGTCATTTCTTCTATTTTTAATTCGAAAATTTTGTTAGACTTACTTCGAAAAATTAGATACAATTGAGATGTACGTCGTCTGTTCATTTAAGATTGCATCTCTTGCACTTTCTATATTATGTGGTCTTGCATTTCTCATGCTTTTTATTACAACATAACTGGATTATCCTACTCCGGTTAGACTGAAAAGATTTTTAGGATGAACTTTTTTTTGGAAAAATAATGCAGGATGAGATTATTTACTGCAAATCTGATGACACGGGAAAGAACATGATAATTTGTAAAGATGAAAAATTAGCTAGGTTAACTTTCGCTTTTAAGTAATAACCAAAGTTTTACTTAATGGGTAATCAAATGGATGATCACCTTTTAAAAACCTTGTAACAACAATAATAACAACAACAACAACAGCAACAGTATGTAGAGGGACAAATGAGTAGCAATAATAAATATTTACGCTTGTGTTATTATTGCTGCGAAGGGTCAAAGTTCAGTGATGTATGTGTCACATATAATATTTTTAGGTTAGAAATGATAGTTGCTGAGTGTGATGATGCTTTATTTGGAGGATGGCATTTAGCGTTGGCATGAAGTATTTCTTTTTTATTTAAAGTGACATCAAAATGTCTGCAACCATTCGAGTAACTCTTTCATGTTATCTTTGCAAGGATCATTTCGAAAAGTCAATCTGTGATTTAAAAAACCGGTCGGAGTGCAGGATCCATGAAAATCCGGTGTTAATTTGATAGAATTTATAGGCATTAACTTGTAAAAATGAAAAGTTTGTTCCTTCCAAAGAGTTGCTGTTAAGAGATGAGAAGGAAGTACTTGGTTTAATGAATGGGCGGATCAGGTAGTATCATTTTATTTTATAGTGGAGGGGTACATTGGTCGATTTTCTATAATAAAACTGAACCGGATTTGATGAGATCGTTTTGTGGGCGGGCAAGACAGAGGCATAGTGAAAATAATGGAAGGAAGAAGTGAAGGAGGCCGTAACCGTAGCTGAACCGAGACATACCGATTGATCTTCCCTTCGGGATATTGCCTAGATCAGGTTTTTCACGTTGTCCAACATTTTTTCTTTCTTTTCCGCTCACCGCTCCTGTCCGCTCTCTTTTCTTTCTTTGCTATACTACAAATACCTTTATTACAATTAGTAAATGATTTGTAAATTTTCTCGAGGGCATCAATTAACATCGCATTTTCTCTTGCTTGTAATCAGTGTCCAATGTCTGGAATGGAATGAAATTGAATCGAGTTTTTCGTCGTTACGATGTAATTGATTAAAAGATGAACGGAAGAATACGAAATAAGGATATCGTTCCGGAACTCGCTTCTCGTTATCACATCAGTCATACCGTATCAGTTCTTCATGAACCATTAATGATAAATTAACTTGTTATCACTGTCCACTTATTAATTTAATGCTTCATTCTGCGGGTCCGCTATTCGAGATTCCCGCTGAATACACCGCATTCGCGGGATGATCACTTTACTCTAACCTTTTCGTTTCAGTAGTATCATAGCCTTCCAAGCAAAATGCTGGCAATTCGAAAGTCGCCCAACTCTTCATCTTTTATTAATTTCAAATTCTTATTTTGATTTCAGTTGAATCTTCTTCCCTCCCTTCTTTATCAAATGTGCTCTTCGATGAATTTCTCTTTTAAAAAACATTTAGCCCATGTAAAAATATAATCGAATTGATAACAATAGTATAATTTTGAATGAAACTTTTGAATAGTAGTCGATGGATGATGTTCAAACTGACTCCTTACGACGTGGTTCATTGTCCCCCCCTTCCCATTTCTCCGCGACACATAGCGATCTCTCTTCATCAAATGCTTTCTTTTTATCCTCGTCAAACACTTACCGGTTCATGTCGTTGCTGTGACGGTTGATGACGGCACGGCGATGTCCGGTGATCACCATCAACATTTCTTCTCATTGTTTCTTAATCTCCCATAACAACTATTGATTTTTTGACCGATTTTTAGGCGTTTTTATATTTATGTGCGTTGGTTGTATTTTGCAAATTTAATTTTTTTTTTTTCTTACATTTATAAGAGAATTGAACTGATGACATATGGTGCAATTAACTGATTAAAATTGACTGAAATAAGAGAATTAGCTGTTATTGGTTGAGCAACAGATATGAAACAATAAGAATGACACATCTAATTTCTCAGCAATATGTGTTTTGTTTGTTTATTGTTTGACTTTTGAGCTAAAGAAAAAAGCATCTTTAGCTGTCTATGTGTAATGAAGTTTACTTAATCCTAACGGAGTAACGTGACAAGATACTTTCTAGTGAGGTGAAATTAAGCATTGAAGAATAAAACCAAAAAAGATATGAAATAAGTTTAGCATCAGAGATTCTCCCTTCTGTATCATTTGAACATTAAAATCTGATCATAATTTTTTTCCTTGTAATAACTGACAGAATGCTAATAGCGCCACTAGCGATGCATTCTGAAACTTTTCTCTCGAAGATTGTTTTTCTGTCAGTTTCGATAGCACTAACAATAACACATGAATTAAGGACATCTCCTTCCTTTCATAACCTTTCGGAATTTATAGCAATCGAAATCACTGCACAGTGAATTACAGCTGTTTTGTGCAATAGCTAAAGCCATTTCTGATACTTTTTTCATTTGTAATATCTTACTTAAAAGTTTTTCCTATCATTCTTATTCGTATTTTCTATTCCAATATTTGATGAGGTTCAGAATAGGTAAATTTTCAAAATTTCATCGTTCTTCAGTTCCATCTAGAATGCTTATAATGATTTCTTCAATGGAACAAAGAATTGATAAAATGGATGAAATAGGATGTCAGAAATGAAATCAACTAATTAGTAATGAATGCTAATTATATTCAATAAATCAGAGTCACAGCATTTCATTATTAACAACAGAATTATGTTGTTGTCTAGGCTGCTAGTAAACAATTAAGACTGAAAACATAGTTTCAGGACAATGAATGCTATATTAATCATTGTAATGCCAGCACTGTTCTCAGAGCGCTCAGATTTTAGTATTGTATATTCGCTTCCATCGGCGCTATTATTCATCTATCAGCGCAATATAATCTTGAAACTCGTCGTAGATTTTACAGATGTTGAGGTGTACCCTCACGCATTTCATATTGGCAATGCTGTATGTTAAAACATTAGCCCAATCAGCATTATCGCGTGCTTGGGAAGAAACTTTCCCTGGGCATGTGCCATTCTGGGAAAAATACACCACGGGACCGCATGGTGTTGTCATTCGTGGGTGGCAATTCAGTCGATGTGCAAGTGAACAGGTGAAGAAGCATTTCATTGACATCGCTAGAAAATTTCTCTTATGAGTTCCCATGTTAGTAAAAATACTTTAATGTGAACTGTATGTGTTCTTTAATCTAAGATATGAAACCAAGAGAAGTCGATCAGTGATTGTGTTTAACCTTTACTGATACGATGACGAGTAAGGTTGAGGTTAGTCTTTTGACGAAATAATTGTTATGGATACCTGTCAATGCTACTTTACCTTACTTAAAACCTGTTTGAGAGCGGATGCAAAAGACACACTCATAAATGAATGAATGATGTCATTCTAAGAAACATAAATTTGCAGTGGACAAACTATGTAGTGAATGTTTCAAATATTGTCGTATGGCCAGACTATCCACGTTTCCCGGGACCTATATTTTTCAATGTTACAATGGATGTAAGCGAAGAATTACCGCAGGATAAGATCGAGATGGATGTCGAGGTACCGCTCCTTGCCTGTGCCACAACTATTGAAAGTGTCCAATTTTATGGCTCTTTGAAATTGACCATTCTTTAGATTAAGTTTTGCTAAATGTTAATTCTGAGATACAAGTTAATGTACTTTCTTAAAAAACTATTGAGGTAAGGCATGCAGTAACGAATAAACAAGGATCAAAGGGCTGGCAGGTAATTCCATGCCAAGGTTGGAATTTCATCGACGGTTGCGATGGAGTCGGTTCTTGGTATGTTTACTGATTGCTTGTAATTTGATGGAATTGGAATTGACTTTACAAATGAATGAATGAATTCCTTGGGCTTAGACAAAACAAACTTACTTCTTAAGTGATCTTTTCTTCAATCCTTCTTTCATTGCATAATCTGCGCAGCATGCACGCAAAGTATTTGCAGTCGCTATTGCGATATGCTGGACAAATGTCATGAAACGGTGAAAGCAGCGGATAAATATATAACTGATCGGAAGGCGCACGAATTCATCCGACAAAATAAGTTGTGTCCTCCGCCGAAAGGACATTGGACGATGACATTTAGCAAAGTGTTCACAACTGAAGATTTACCTAAAAGTTTCTTTGGACCATTGCAATCGGTGCCACTTTCAAGTATCTAGAACTTTTTTGAAATATTTCTAAACTAGTAACAGTATCAATATTCAGTGTTGCAAGAATTAAGCATATTAACAGAATTCAATTAATCTTACTTTTTACTTCAGCAATTCTATAACTATTTCACATTCCAAGTAGTTTTGGTTTGTTGCCAAAATTTAATAATCATTAATTTAAAAAGTATTGTTTAGAACGAGTACTGGCTAACGTTTTCATTTTCGGATGGCAAAGATAAGAAACTTGGATGTGCACGTCTTTGGATCGATGTATGCAAGTATCATTTACAGGTAAGTAACAACTTTCATGATACTTAATAATCAAAGTTATTGTTAACAAGTGACAACACGAGATTCATAAATTATCATTTGGCCAAAAAATAGGTGCCAATTAGAATGAATGATATGTTAATGCCGTCGTACACTCATTTTTATTACGATTTTGAGATAAAACACAAAAATTTGTTAAGGATAAGCAGCAGAAATGTTTACGAGACCCAAATGCATTCAAGAATTTTATCAACGATATCAGTAGCCAAGTGACACAGATCAGACAACGGACCAGTTCATCCTGAGAATCATACGGGGAAAAAGAAATGTTTTTTTAAGGCCAATTCAATTAACTGCTGTGCCACCTTATCGGCGCCAATGTACAATTCACCAGGAATGCGTTCGCTGAGTGTTGTACTACTACTACTACTACTACCCTTTGCCAATAAATTTCATCAACATCGTGAATTCTCGACTGTACATCTCTCAAATGTTAATAAAAAACTCGGTGAAATAATTATGGATTCTGATAATTACATGTCACATAATAATGTATAGGAAATATTGATTCAAGTGGGAAAGTATCAATGATTAATGGGGAATATCGACGATAATATTGTAGAGCCTTGTGGTCGTTAAATTATTTTTTATTGGTACTAAAATTAATTCTGTTCATTTAACCCGAATGAACATTTGTTTCACTTCAAAATTTTCTCCAATTACTTTGTTAGCAAAACGAGCATTCGGGCCTACATTTTACCAATAAGAAATAATTTTGTTTAACTGATGCTTTGAGCTTTGATTAACTCTTGGAAAGTATTCTCTTCGTCTCTGTGTACAGAGAGTTGTTCAGGTGATTGCAGAATAGTAATCAATTAGCTAAAGGTAAGATGAATACCGCGGTAAATTACTTGAAGCATTGATTTAATCAACGTCAAAATAGTAAATTAATGTTTGCCACTGCAAGCACTACGGTCATCTATCTGCTGAATGTACTTACCTTGGAGTAATTGGACTCGTCGGGATTCATTAGGCTCTAATTAATTGTTGGCCATCAGCTAAGAACCACCGTCATCCTTTGACGTGAGTTTTACAGCAACTTCTTCGTCAAATCATCAATACCAGTTGTCATTTATGATCCATTACGGTTGTCAACTAATGGGACATTTTGCACTGCAAGTTTTCCCCATTTTTAATATTTATTTTTCCTCATATCTTTCCCAATACTTAATAAGTATCATTTGCTGATTATTTTCAACTGCTTGGCTCAACTTGCTGATAGTTATCAGAATCAAATCCTGTTGCAAAGAGAATTACGGATGGTTTTCAGGTTTGCCTGAACTTATGTCACAGGTAGACATCACACCTTGATTGGCTAGAATTTCTGCTCATTTTCAAATTACCTTACCACCATCTATTAAACGTTTTATATTTTTTTGCTAGCAGAAATCAATCGTTGAAACTGTATTTCTGAATAATAAACCCAAAAGCTACTTTAGTTGCACTCAACTCCAACCCTTTTCATTTGCAAATTTCTTTGCCTACCACAAAACTGCATGTGGCCATGTCGGCAGTTCCGGCCAAGTATATTGCGATGCTGTAAAGTGCGTCGATCAATAAGTTAGAGCCACAAACCTCTTTCTTGTCTAGCCTTATTCCTTCATTCCAAGATAAACAGTAATGAATTGATAACACATATTTATTCCAAAACATGTCGCAATATGAAGCATCCAACAGCACTCAACTATTTCTGATGCAGAAATTTTAATTCAAATCTTAAATACAAATTTAGATATTCGTGGACGGTACTCTTCGAATGATCACCGAAGTACAGCATCGATGATCAATTATTATAGCTGCAACAATTCAATCCTTAATCATCAAATTATTCATCAGCTTATAATTCATGCAACAAAATGAGATAGCACAGTCAAGAATTAAAATGTAAAACAGTGAAGTTTAAAAATAGAAAAAACACAATTATTTTTACGCCAATACTTGTGCGATAAGATCACATGAACAATATACAAATATATAATTCAAAATTGAGCGCAAAGCTCGCTTATCTGTAGAATAATATATATATTTTTTATTTCAGAGGGCTAACGATATATATATATATATATATATATATATATATTTAAAAAAAAATTAAAAATTAAAGAGATAACTTCGCAAGCAGATCAATAAATGATATAATCTATTTCAGAGGGCTAACGATTCACAAGTTGAGCCAAACAGTCAAAGATAATAGTTGATTTCGGATAGTCATTATCTACTAAAGTCACCAGACAATATTCATTATAAATTTTTTCTAGTAAACAACGACTTGATGTTCCTTCAGCGTATATGGATGACCTAAATTAACAAATATTTTACTTCAATAAAAATGTGAATTTAAAGAAACAAGATGACTATTCTTAAAGCAAGAGAAATGTACCAGTTTAACCAGGCGCTAAAGGCCTCATCCTTCCAAACACGAAATGAAAGCGGATCAACTACCGTCGGCTGTGCAATTTCAGAACCTGGAAACACGCCCCAGGTAACAGCAATTGGCATGGTGGTTTCAGTATTTGTCCAGTCAATTGTTGCCTGCAAAATTTATGACACTGTCTTAATTTTTTGAAAAACTATTTCTTTTACTAACATGAATTAGCAAAAACGAAAAGCTTACATCATGATTGACAATGTGACAGTTAAGACGCGAATAAGATGGCAAAAGACTCCATAGAACTTCAGCATTTGCTTGTGATGTGAAGAATTCGAGATAAGCCTGAAAATGTAGATCAAAGATTTAAATGAAATCAAAAAGGAATACAGAGATAAAGCAACAACAAAAAAAAAAAAAAAAAAAAATTCGCTTCGATAGTATAAGGATGTAAAAATAAAGAAGGAAGCAACCTTTTGATAACAGTAGCCACCAGGTTTGCCCCAGCCAACAAACGGATCCGTACTAGGGGCTCCATTAATGGATGGCTGACTATTGATTGTCAAAAATCCATTTGAATTGCACCACAGTAACTGATCCTTTATAAGTGATGTTTCAGCCCGTATACCATCGTGTTGCTCATTCCAAGGCAGTTGACTTACCTGAAATCTGTGTGATTCTAACACAATTGTTGATCAAAATTCGAATCTACCGTTTTGTATCGGGAGATAGCAGTAACTTCTCTTTGTTTTTTGTATCACATTAAATATGAAGTAACAAATCGTAACAGCAATAATAAGGGAAATTTTCAGCTTACTTTCACACCATTTTCATTGATATTTTGTGTGATAAAATTGACAAATACTTTTTGTATGTCAGCAAGCGTTTCTAAACGTTCACCATACATTCGAAGTTGTTCATCTCTGGTTGGTTGTCCTTTCAAATAGAATAAGTAGTAATCTTTGAGATCATTGAACGCTGGCGAACTGCTATTACCCCAACGACCATTTGGAAATTCGTCCCATTCCTGCCAACAGTATCCAATAGTTGTAAATAAATGTAAGCGAAAAAAAAAAAAAACTGCTTTTTTTAAATGAATTACGCGCAAGACAAACTAAATTGATTGACTACAAAAAAATAAAAGCATCAAAAGAAGAAAAAAAAGAATTAGGTGAAATGGAAGCTGAAATGCATCAGTAATATTAAAAAATTTACACGGGTTCTAAAAACATAGGATTTCGGTCGCATTGACCAAAAAATGGGTCGCACATCTTCCTTGCAACGAACAGGATGGCTTTCACCAAATAAACGCCAAGGCAAGGCACGCATAGGTGAACGTGGCCAAAGCCCCAATTGTTGTAAAATTTCCCTCGAAAAATTATATGTCTGCATACAATGAACAAGTATTCTGATTACTACAGACAAACAGAATAAAGTAAGGATGAAAAACAAAATTAAAAGCTAAAAAGTGGATATCACACAGTTTATAATCATAAGAATGAATAGTTTGATGGGATAATAAGAATAATACTGACAAAGATATAAAGAAGCTACCTTTATTACTGATAGATGTGGAACTCGTTCTATAAATAACAAGATCTAAAATACAAAAATTACCTTGAAGAAGCTTCTCGATTCAATGTAAACAGATGTATAGATGTAGCACTACCATTTGAAAGAAGTGTTCGACATAAAGTCACAGCATGCCAGATGCCAAAATTACGTACAGCATCGTCATCATTTTTAATTGGTTCCAAACTAGTAAGGATAGAGTCAGGTATAACTAGTTGTGACAATTCTGCGACACGACGTATACTTTCATAACTCTGCAGATAAAAATTAAATCGTTCACCAGTTTGCTGCTTTCTTTCTTCTCAAATAAAAAATCTTCATTAACGAAAAAAAAAAACTCATGCAAGATTTTCAACAAAGGAAAACGAAAAAATATCAGTGAAACCTGAATCGGTAAGATTCCAGGGATGATTGGTACAGTGATACCAATTTCGCGACAATCACGCAAAAAATTTTTGAAGACTTCTCCATCGAAAATTATTTGAGAAATAATAAAATCTGCTCCTGCATCTACTTTCGCTTTCAAATACAAAAGGTCAGCTCGATAACTCGGAGCTTCAGGATGTCCTGCGGGATAGCCTAAAAAATTTCTTTTATTCTAATTAACAAGAAGGAAAGTAGTGAATATAATGTTCTAATGCAATATCATAGCTTTTGTTATCATTTCTTTCCCATAATCAGTACATCATACGAGTTCTTCGAAGGCTTCATACACTAGCACAATTAAATGTCGTCTTTGAGTAATCAAAGAGCTCTAATGATCACCATGTTACTAGCCTGTTACTGCTGCTACTAATAAAACCATGTAAAGGAATTATATACCAAAAATATACCGGCACACGCTATGGTGAAGTAATCATTATATTCCTCTTTTATCCATCGGATGAGGTCTAAGGCTCGGTATTTATACAAAACTGGATTTTCATCCTGCAATCTGATGATAATTCCACATGTATGCCAAACATATTCAAAAAGAAATATTGTAATTTGTATACAAAAATATCGATGAATTTTTGAATATTTCGTCGATTTCATACTACTAATTAAAAAAATCCTGGACAATGAGAAATATTAAAAAAACAAAGCCCAGTTTATCAAGGAAAATACAACTTAACTTCAACTGCAGATAATTACAGTTTAAAGTTTAAAGAGTGGCAAAATAATGTGTCTATCTAATTACACGATTTGCGTTTTTTTTTTTTTCAGTGCATAGATTATTCAAAGATCTATTAAAAAAGCGAAATCTTTAAGCGTAAAGCATGAAAACAAATGAATAATACAAGTATGGCTTATAGCAGAACGATA